TTGTCCCATTGAGAAAAGCATGCAAAGTGATGATCCTTAAATGATTGCGTGAGGATTTGCGTTCCCAACGGGAAATGGATTAATCGAAGGTAATTTGATATTGATTACTAGCCTATTACTAGATCAGACAAAGCTGTTATGTGTTGAGTGGTATTGTGGTAGGCATCAATTAATTGTTAAATTTGAAACAACAATGATTTATATAAATGTTTTTGTTTCTGTTTAATTGCAGACTAAATATTAAATAAAACTCGTTCACAATATTTATTTAATTATATCTACAATCTGAACATTGTTTGATATTAAACTTCCCAAGGTTATATTTATATTTAGAATTAAGCATTATTTCTGATTTCTATAAATGTTTTATAGAGAAATTTCATTGATTTTATTAATTTTTGATATTGATGGTTATATATATTATTAAGGGTTCGGTTCACTGGACTCGATTTGCATGCGAATCTTGGGAGGCGGGTTTGCTGTCAACTATGCAATCGATTTCAAAAGATCACCAATCTTTTATGAGTTGAATGTATGATTTTCCTAGTTACTTAATATTTCTTGTTATTATTTTTACTTATGTGTTTTAAAGTAAGTTTTGACATAATTTTTGTATACGAAATATGATTAACCAATCAGAATAGTTTATTTGACAGCTTATGAAAGTTAAACAAGATACGTCACGGAATATATGCGGATTAGCGAACAATCTGAAGACAAATTATAGAAACAAATTTAAGAAATTAAGTAATAGAGCTTATTATCAATGAGTTTTTGTAATTTGTAGAAATAAAATAAGTTTTATTAATTTTAACAAAATAAACGATATTTCTTTAACTCACGGTTTACTTGAATATACCAATAGTTAAATTTCCACGGCACACTTAAATTATGATGTTGTTTTAATATGTATACGCCTTAAGCGGCTTGATTTTGTATGAAGTGACTCCCTTAGTGGCTACGTTATTTTTCGCTAGCGTATTTATTTGATGCGAATATATTCGTCATAAGCGCTACATAGGCAATACAAGAGACCATGACGAATATATACGACATAACCACTTAAGGGGTAAAAAATAATGTATTTTATGAACTTTAAAAATAATTCTTGGCATACCTTTTGCGTTGTGTGAATTGTGGTGTATTGTTTAGAAATATTAATCTGGCAAATCGTCTGAATCATATTTACGATTGGTTACGACTTTGCACTAAAAGAGCAGTAAAACATAGTTAATTATAGCCCATGAAAAGCGACGATGAGTTAACTTTATTTTTATGGTCATCCTAATTGCAGAACATAAAAGACGTGTAGGACTTCCTGTCTTTAATATAATCACAGTAAGTTAAAAACATACAAGAAAATCTATGAAATGATGCGAGATAACGAGAGTTCATACAATAGGATAATAATATTGGGACAACTTTTTTATATTCATTCATTATATTTTCGTATAACACGATTTCCTATAACGCGATTTCATACTCTTAATCGCGTTATACGGGAGCCATTACTATATAGTTAATACATAAACTATAATACAAACTGAGTTAACACTTGTTATTATTTTTATATTTAATATCAAATTTATAAGAGTGTGAATTGCATGAAGAATATTTACTTTACCGTATAATTACTATACATTTTTTTAATAGCGTTATAAATATTAACTCTTTGTTACCTGAACATAGTTAAAATAAAAAAATGAAAAAAAAGTGGTACTTTTTGGTAAAGTCAGGCAATTTTAAGCTTAAATCGTATAATATGTGAATTATAATGATTACAAAATTGGATCAATTTTCATATATATCTTTAGTAACAATATTATTTTATAAACTTATTGTTTTCGTTACAACATCAAAAAGTAACCTATACAGAAGTGACAAGTATTACTAGAAAGTAGTTTCATACTCACTTGGTGGTTCCTGTTGCAAATCAAATCATTTTTATATACAATATGAAGATTGCATGTGCTGGTACTTATAAGTACCATCAGACGACAAAGGGTTAAAAGTTGTAAATATTTTTTAAAACTGGTTTGGGAAAGTGAACTGTATAAATAGACAATTTTTTGTATATAAATACAAATCGTTTATGACATTTCGTGGAAAATTTCTCTGTGATTGTATGTGATGATTGTATTTTAATTAATATTTGTACAGTGCGTTTCTTTAATGATTTCAATTTACTTGGGCAGATGTTAAAATCTGAAATTACAAAGTGCATTCACATAATCAATAGAACAAAGCGCGTTGATAGCTTATCGCTAATGAAACAGAACATGTGTACAAATGGTAAACAATTTTAATTTTGTTTACTGATCGATGGTGGTTTCATAAAAGCAGCACTCGGATTCAATTGGATTTTGGGGAGATCTACTCGAAATATTTATGAATGAATTAATAATATCAGTTGATGAAAATATCAAATATTTTTTTAATAAACAATGTTACTTAGAAGTTAATAACAATACTTTATTGTATTGGATGGAGAGATTTTATCTTGTATTAAAAATTACTAAATAACTTTTATTTTACATTTAATAGATGGCGCTACGATATAATATTTAAATCTTTAAATAAAATATATCTAGTACTTCATATTTTACTGAATATTTGATAAATACAAGGCTTTGATTGTGATGAAAATATTTAACATTAGTCTTAATTAAATATTATTCATATTTTTATATTTGTAATTTGATTACCAAAAATACCGAATTTAATATTTCTAATTTTAGAATGTGCAAACATAAAGATAAAATAATTCATAGAATTGTAACGTCGTAACATTGACAAGTACTACTATATCAGAAGTATAACAAATACTAGAATTTCACAAAATTTTATCGTATATTTATCAAAGAGAGCTAAGTTTGTCATCATTTAAATTCAAGAAGTATATAGTAATTTTAGAATAATTACAGTAATACCTCGCATAGTGCGGATTCCGTCAATATCCCGGATTGTTTGAAACTGATTATTGAATCCGCACTGATCGAAGCAGCACTATGCGACTATTGTGGATGTATATAAACAGTTTCTTAGTACAAAGTAAACATAATTTATTGTTTGAAGAAAATATAAATGTTACTCCATTGGTTGAAATAATTCAATCTATAACCCTTTGGTAGAAATTAAGGTTTTCTTGTAATAAAATAATATAAATTTCTCTTTTGTCAATTTCAAGAAAACTCACACGATGTTTATTATGATCATAATATAATATTTTGATTTAAAGTTGTATACCTGAATTATATGCATACTTTCTTGTATCCAAGAATTTTCAATATTTGTACACTTATTTCGAACGTTTTGGATATATATTTTATAGATGTGATTTTTGAGTAAAATTTCTATAGTGAAACTTTCTCGGTACGCTTAAGCACGATTGCATTTTATTGGGAAATAATTTAATTTGTAAAATTTTCGGGACACACCGGTTGAACATCAATGGGCTAAAAATAGTAGATGTTGTAAAACTTTATACATTATATCCAAAATCATTAAAATGAAACAATATTATATTGGAAAGAAAGTCATAAAAAAGCCCTTTGGTCCAAATTAGGAACAATAAAAATGTGTAAATATTTTTTTTTTAATTAAATTTGCAATATTTGAAATACCTTTGTTTTGTACGTTTGAACAATTCATAGATGTGTTATATTAAATAAAATGTGACGTATGATATAAAATTTCAATAGTAGAATCTACATTTAGAGTAGAAATTTTTGATTTTACAATTCCATATATAAAAAAAAACGAATACATAAATAATAATGGAAAGGGACTAGAGATATTTTTATTTATAAAATCTATATGTATCCCAGTGAATATTGGAAATTTATGTATTCAGTCATTAAAATCTAGTCTAGATTATATATATAAACAGTTTAACAGTAGTACATTAGATTTAACTAAATACAACAATTTGTAGGTAAAATTGTACTAAATGGATGATTTAGTACTTTGAATTAAATAGTTAATGTTTAATATATAAATTAAAGTCAATTGCAGTAGTTGCACATATTTATAGGAAATATAGTGAAGCTTTTATTGGTCCGGTTTTAAACGGTCCAGGATATTGGCCGAAACAATTATCATAACTTGTGAAAGCAAAACAATGAGTTCTGTGGATAGTACTTGGATAGATTTATATTGCAGGTCTATTAACTCTTTGAGCCAGAAATTCCTAAATTTCTAGACCCAATGCATTTCTAAACAACGGAATCATACAACTATGGTATTGCCTATCAAGATTCATCATTTGGCATACCAACCAAATTAAAGAATATTTCCTCTTTCCTGGACATTTCCTAGAAAATCACTAGACAATGAGTCCCGTCGCGCATTAAAGAGTTAAGTGTATATCCTAGAATCTCAAATGTAAAATCAACAATTTTATGTTTCACTTCATTAAATTAGGTTTAATCGTTTATACATTAACAATGTTAAATTAAGAAAAAATGATTCTACATTGTTTGGCAGAAGATATATGAATTGTGATCTTCATATGGATGTGTTATGTGAATCCATTTACATGCTTTGTGATGCATAGAAAACGCTGTTTATCAAAGGCAGGAAATATGCTAAAGTTCAAGTGATTCAAATTATGGTCGAACGCGATAAGCTCGTCGACCATATGTGCGGCACATCCTTCGCGTCGTCACCATTGCGAAATTGTCGATGATGTTAAGCAAACAAAAAAAAAACAAGGATAGAAAGGTCCTGCAGGATGATGATCGAATGGCGTATATCGATCATACGCAGCCCGCACAGGATTCGCACGTGCTTCTGATTTGTTCGGTCTCCTCTCCGCGGCCGCCTGTTGCCTTAACCCAGTTTCGCGCACAGCGATGACTGCCCTTCTCCTTGCTCGTCCTTTTTCAAAGGATTTCCACGTGGTGCGGCCCTGAAACCACCAGAGAGCGCTTCGCTCTATCTCCCCACCACCAACAACCTCGCTCGCTCTATGTATATATGTATGTATGCAAACAAAATTTATTTAAATGTAAGAGAAAAAAAAAACGGCAACGCACACTTAATATTGTAACAATAATCGTAAAACGCGCAGTTCTGTGCAACACCTCCTCTCTCCCACGATAGAAACAACAAAAGTCGGTTTCAGTTCGGTTCGGATATATCGCGAGTGCCAGTCAATATCGAGCAGCGCGCAAAACGGACCCCCACGTGCGGAGCGAATTACATCCTCCTCCTGCTCCTACTCCTCGTCCTCCTTCTCCTCCACCGTCGCTCCACCTCCTAATCCTTGTTCCTGCTTCTTCTATTTCTTCTGAATCGTACAAATTATCAGTGCAAAATGAAATTGATGAATCGGTGAAGAGCCTTTCTCCCTTATCCGAGCGTGCAGTGCAGTCAGTGATCAGTTAGTGCGATACTCGAGAGGAACCAAAAGAACGAGTGTTACTACCTTCAATTACAATAGTTTACAAAGTGTGTTTTTTTTGTTTGTTTACAAAGTGCGTACGCGATGTCGAAGAACAACAACAAACCGCGCCAGAGAAAGATCAGCAGGGTAGGCAATGACAATGACTTTGTTATTATTTCTTTCTTTCTCTCTATCTTTATCTATTTCCTCATTTGTTTCGCGGCGCGAACAAAAGAAGCGTGAGGAGGTGGAGGAACGGCGGAAGCCTTCGCCATCTAGACGCTCGTTGGCAATTAACGCTGCATTCCGAAAATATCAACTTTAAATTTAACTTTTTGGCTTACGTTTCTGTTTCATTCACGGGCAAGAAAACAAGACTCATTTATTCATCGCACCGGATTTGCATGCATATATATATTTGAAAGAACAACAAAAAAAAAATAATAGTCGAATACAAATAATAATTTATTAATAAAATATATATACACACAAACACACCGAATCCAATAACAATAAACGAAAGCGAATTGCGGAAATTCCATTTACAGTTTATTTAAAATTCAAATTTAAATGTTATTATTTTCCAGTCATTCCCAACGCAACTTAGCAACAATATTATTAATAAACAATATTAATTAACAAAACCAAAATATTTACGCCTTAGGAAAAACAAGTAATTATACAAATTGTAGCTTTATATTTATGAACAAATTAATTAATTTTTCTGTAGATTGTCCATGATTATATACAAAACTTATAATCTGTTCGTAATACATTCATAATTCATTTACAAGCAAGTACATTTTGCGAATAATCAGCTGTTTTTGACATTTTGCATTACCCGTATGATTTATAGTTATTTAAGCAATTCGAAAATACAAATTTTAAACAAATAATTTTATGTTTTCTTCTTTTTGTGGTAATATTAAAAAATGTAATCTGTTTATAATAAATAACTTGTATATTCGTATACAAGACGTGTTCTGCGGAGTATATCAGCTGTTCTTGAACTTACCGGGAATCCATACAACCGTTATCGACTACGTTTTAGTCTAATTATAAGACTTATAGTTATATAGTAACAATCTATTGAATAATAATTCATAATATTCTTAAAATTTATTTACAATTAATAAAAGTAAACAAAATGATATAACGACCGGAACATCTGAAAAAAAATCTGTTTTTGCTTCTTTCCTATGAATGAGATTTTTGTTATTTTTGTTTACAAATTAATGATTTGATAATTGATATTAAATTAAGTATCAATAGTGGCAAACGTTTTCTTGTTGTTATTTCACAAAATAACTTAATTAGTTCTTTTTTTAATGGAAATTATTGAATAATAAATACAAAATACGGTTATTAGCCTATTGCGCAATGTTCAATATTTAATGGTGTTGTTCTACTAATAAATAATGTGTCCATCCGAAAGACAAAGAAAATCTATTGTTATTGATTGAGAATTTTTCTTATTGTAGCAAATGATTGACGTTTTACATATTATATAACTAAAAAAACATACATAATATCTGAAATCATTCGTATCCAATCGAAGTTGTAGAAGTAAATTTTATTCTTTTTTTAGAATTTATCGCTAAGAAAACATTCGATGCATTAGTAATTTTATACGTTGCATTCTATAGTAATCCAAACTATATTTAGAATATATTCAATAATAGTTTATCAAAGAACAAAATTTTGTTTTCATTTTTTATCAAAATCATTTTCTATTTCAGTGTTTCTCAAACTTTTTATAGAAAAACATACTGACATCAACTTTTCTGCGACCCCCCCCCTGCACTAGTAGTTTTCTCGATCCTCCTAGAGGATCACTGTTCTATTCAATGTGAATTTAATACCTGCTCCAAACCGAAAAGGCTAAACAGTTTCTTGTCCAATCATAGATGTATCTTTTGTCCAAGAAGTAAATACCATTTACCCAAAATGGTTAGCCCAGATCTGTTTTTAACCCTCTCCGTTCTTTAAAGTTAACATTACGTATTTGTTTTTCTTCTCGTGAAGTTGTACACGTTTTTTATGCGTATTTATCTGCAAATCTAGTAATCTATTTCAACTATAGATGTTCGTGGATCTAATGAACGTAAGTGATAAAATTAAAAATATTTTGCGAATAGAAAACAAACCTTAATTACGGAAAATTTGAAGATTGTGTTAATTTGTGGTAGGATAATGCATATTAACAATATTTTCTACTTTGTGTTGAATAACAAGGTTAAAGCAATTTTTTAATTTAGAATAAATAATGAAATTTGCACAAAGACTAACTTTGTTATGCACGTAAAGGATAAAAAAAAAACCTATGAGTTGTAATTGATCAAAATAGATTTTTCTAATTTAGTAACCGCATACAAAAGCAAATGGATTTAGTATAACACGAATATTTCTATTTTGAATGGAATAAAGTTAAGTAGTTCACATCAATAAAACTGTATTGAAATCTGATCAACCCAATCAAAAAAAATGGATGGTAAAAAGTCTAGTATACGGATCAACAGTAATATTTTTTTTCGATTAATTTGTAGTAGGCTTTTGCTCGATAAACAAAATAATAATAGCGAAACGGCCTTCTTCATCCTTGGCCGCCTTTTTTTTGTTCGTTCGTTCGTACAGAGCATCGGGAGCGCGAATTATTCAGATTCTTACGCAACGCGAACGCAATTTCAATATGCAATCAGAGAGTGACATATCAGAAATAATAAAATCCGATGAAAGCACAACTCAGTACTTTTCCACTGAGTACAATAAAAAATAAAGAATTGTGAAAGTGAAATCGTAAACTGTTTTGCACCAGACCGAAAATAACAATCTGCCTCGGGATGATAACATTCTTAGGAAAAACCTTGACTATGCTGCAAATCTCATTTGTTTTAATTACTGCATGAATATTGATTCGATGATCATCGAATAAGAAAAACTATTATTTGTTGTTCGATTAACTAACGGTTTTTTTTACTAGTTGATGACAGTTAGTCTGTGTTTTTTTTTTCCCTTTCAATGAAATCCGAGATGTTTGTTTTTGGATACGCGTGTTACCATTAAGTGTTTCATTGGTAATGAGACGTGTGCATTCGTCGGCCGAGCCATTTGAATTCCAAAGTCTGTTCATTTCAATACTAAATTATTCTAAACAATCAATTCGCGGTTCATTCGTACACGATACATTCACGATGATCTTCCTTTTATAAATCACATGCGTAGTAAAAAAAACAAAAGTTAAACAACGCCTTTAACTTGGGTGGATTACTTGTTCGCATTGTAAACAGTACGCGCAACTTGCCAAGTAATGTGTAGCGTGTAGATAAACAATAATTTTCCTGTCAGAAGCACTTGACAAATACATAACATGTAATAATTAAAAAAGACAAAAGTTAAATAACGTCATTAACATAGATTGTTTGGGTGGATTGCTTGTTTACATTATAAACATTATGCGCAACTTGCCAAGTAATGTGTAACGTATACATAAAAATAGTTTTCATGTCAGAAGCACTTGACAAATACATATAATAATTCAGCACATTAAAATTTGACAGTTATTTGACAGATTGTTGCAACTTCAATTTGACTGTCATAAGTCACAATGACAACCAATTTCAGTTGTTAGGACTCGAATTAAGTCACGCATAGTGTTGATGCACCATTATAATTTGAATAATAATGAGAAATTTAATTAGATTTTAATGAATAATGAATCAGAAGATAAACAATCAAATATTTATTATATGATCAATATATTTTTATTACCACCTATTATTAAGAACTACAAAAATAGCTACGGCATCTATATAGTATTGCTATTGACAAAAACGTATGCGTAATTGCAGTAGTAATAAATTGCGCAAAAACCAATACATTCGGAATGTCACATATGGTTTGATTAATCATTTCGGTATTTGTAAATTTGCATATTGCAATTAATTGAACAAACTTATTTTAATGATAAAATAGATTGCGAACGTGATTCATTATTTGAAAATTACTTTTAATTATTCAACCAAAAGTTTGTTTTTCAGTTGTACGTTAATTATATGACAAATTAAATTTAAATTAGATCTAAAATCTTCGTAATTATTTTGTTTTGTATCAACTTGATTATAAATGTATATAATTTATATATGATATTTTTATTCCATTTTATTCAAATTTAAAAGAATTATATTGAAATTTATTGTATCGCCATCTAGAGGATGTGTACTAATCATGATAAACTTTTGTAAAATAGAGAATACACGATAATTACATATTTCATTAGATAATGACTATTGAAAAGAATAAGCCTAAAATTGCAAATTATTTTCTGATTTATTTTAATTAATTAATTAGAATTTGTGTATTTTTAATAATCATATCTATTGGCACAACAGAAATGTTGCATTTCGTATAAAAATGCCATGTTTTTAATGCTCTACTACAGCGTTTTCCAAACTGTGAGGCACGAATATTATTCACAGTGAGCAATTTTACAAATGACTGCAAAAGTTTTATCTATTTTATGAAATGGAGGGGTGGCGACAAATGATTAAATATTATTAAGGGAGGCGCAGTAACATGAAGTTTGAAATATATTAATTTTGAATGATTTTTATTTCAAAATCTACCAATCAATGAAATTATTCTGGAAGCGTGTGGATTGCCAAGTAAAAAAGTAGAGATATTTGCCAAGATCACAGTAATGTTCCTTTTGGCAGTTTCATGCCAATTTGGTGCTTCAGCTGCATTTGTTTATACTTTAATGAACAACAACACTTTGATCATTATATTAATATAAGTGCAAGAGAACATACCATAATGTAGGTGTAATTACTAGTGAATTATGTAATTAACGAAAACGGAATTCCCATGTTACTTGTTTTTTTTTTATTCTGCAGCTATAAATTTAAAAAAACGGTACCGTTGTACAATTATGTACAAGTCATTTTACGTTTAGTAGTAGAATGTGTTAATCTTGATTATGTTTTTGATATTGTAAATATTAGATGATGGTTTAAGTTATTAGTTATTGAGTAGATCAAAATAGGTTAATTCATACTCTTTATGATGAAAAATGCTTGTGCTAATTGAACTTGATTACTTAATACAGTGAGAGATAATCTACAGATTTATGCAGAAAATACTGTTCCAGT